TATCTCACACCAAAATTTATCTTTTGTTTCCTGTTGATTTAATTTCCTTTTCAACTAACTTTAAACTATTGTCTTTTTTGGGTGGTCAGTTCATTTGAGCTGTTGTTATCCGAGGGCAGAATATAATTTCCTTTTCAACTAACCTTAAACTATTGTCTTTTTTGGGTGGTCAGTTCATTTGAGCTGTTGTTATCTGAGGGCAGAGTACAATTTCCTTTTCAACTAACTTTAAACTATTCTGTCTTTCTCAGGTAGTCAGCTCAGTTACACCTTTTTTCTTTTCCTTTATTTTTGTTCAGAACTGCTACTAAAACATCAAATTTCCACCAAATTGTTTTGTCACTGCATAAAGCTAACATCTGTTGCGTCTTGTTATACAGTGTTTTGATGTTATACTTTTTTCACAATCTCATTTCTGAGATATAAACATGGCCTCTTGTTTATTTGTAACGCTTTTTACAACCAGAAACTGCATATTTAGGAAAATTTACTTTCGAAACAAAAAATCGTAGTGTTAATTTTCCATGCCTGCTAGTTGAGAACATTTCCAGCCACCACAACAGTTCAAAATCTTGTAGCCCTTCCTTCACCACGTCCCACAACGATTTGAATTTGAAGCATTGGAAATTAGTTTGCAGTAGATTCGTGTGCCCTTGCTTTGGCTGCTTCAAGTGCGGTTCTTCCATCTTGCTCTTCAGCAAAGGCAGATATCTCCTCGTCTCCCAGGTAAGCCTTTTTTATATGCAGTTTTACGCCGCTCCGTTTCTGTAGGGCATCAACCATGTTGTTAATGTGATAATCCCTGTACAACAGTACTTTGAAGGTTTCCATCCATACAGGGGAGCATAGATGTCTCTTCTCCCTTATGCTGTTGATGAATGCATTTGGCATATCTGCCAGCAAAGCCTGGAAGTATTCTTCTGGCATGTCATATCTTTCCCCACGACACCATTTACCTAATGCCAGTAAAGGAGGAATCACAAGAGTCCAAACCTTGCAGGAATGATACCTCACTGCTGCCCCCCTCCCCCCCCAAAAAAGTCTTAATCATGCTCTCCTTTTGGACTAGTAAGTGTGCGTCTCCCATGTCATTCGTATGTTAAATTATGTATTAAAAACTTCCCATGCATTCAAATAAAATGGCCAACCCAAAAGAGAAGTTCATTCATGAGTCGCTTTGAAATGGTGACTTTTAATGCATCTCAACGTATTACCTGAGCTCGTACCTACTATTAAAACAATGGTATTTTTTCTCCACCGGAAGCACCATATTCCTGCAAATACATTCAATCTAATATCTACTTTCATAGATTTACTTTGCAAGAGATTTTTTTATCTTGTCTATGGATAACCTGTGATCAGGCCCAATTTTAGCATTGCTCTTATGTCCTCTTATGTCGCAATTTGCTATTTTCTGTTTCCCATGGGAAAGGTTTACCATCAAAACGAAAATAGAGCCTGCTCAAAGGTTATCTATAGGGTTGTTATTGCTCTTACCGGGAGCTTTGAGATGTAACCAGTAATTCACACTTTCCACAAGGCCCCTGATCCATTCTTTATAGGTCACCGACCTGCGTCCTGTCTTGGTTGTTCACGAAAGCTGTATGACTTCTTCGCCCTTGTACAAGGGCAAAAATGAAACCGTTCCCGCTCAGCTGTGTTTTAGAAGTCTGTGGTCTCAGAAGTGCAGCCATTGTGTTGAAGGAGCAAAGGCAAGGGTCACAGCGTGTCTTATATACCACTAAGGCCATCACTTTTAAACCAAAATGCAGAATTAACCAAAGAAGGCCACCAAAAAAACTCAGATCTTGAATGTGGCTCTGCGATTATACACAATGTTGTGTTGCAAAAAGAGGGTTTTGCCAAATAGGGGAAATGGAATGACATCTGTCAGTTTGGCACAATCACACAAATGATTCGAAACAGACAGATAGTATTTTATTGGGGCATAGGGTACAGAATAACTTCTTTCTCTCCTTGCTGTGAAAAGTAGTGCAACATAAGTTGGATGATTTTCTTCGGGTTCCTGCTCACTGTTTTTGTTTTCTTGAAAATTCCGCAGCACATTTCTTCAGTTTCTATATTTACTGAACTTTTTGTTTGAGAACTGTTGACTCCCACTACCCCACAGCAGACCCTCGATCTTTTTGAAAGATTATAGATCTCACACGCAGGAACAGAGGATCAATAAGAGCCGGAAAACATGATTGTAGCATTTGGTCCTGAGTAAGATTTGATCATATGCTGCCCTTTGAACGCATTTTGCATTTCATGTTCATCTCAATGTTAAGGACACTAGACAAAGGTCAATTTTGATTAGTTAATAATTGTCTCTTTATCTTAGTTACAAGCGTAGTTACAATGTTTACTTCTTTTTTATTGGTTTTGTAATCGGACCTTTAAGCGTCACTATGTGCATATAAAAGCTGAGTTAGTGTCCCTTTGAAGTAGTTTTTCTTTCCATCTCGCGTGGTCTTTTGATTTCCTAACCCTTGACTCAAGCGGGACCGATATGTGAGTACCTTTGTCATTTTGATTAGGTTACGTTTTTTATAGCTATGGGCGAAGGAATACAAAGAAAGATTTGTGTAATTTTAATTGATTTATAATTGTCTAAATTAGAAAGTGTTCTGAACGTTACTAGAGTGAACGCCCACCTTTTAGGCTCGAAAGCATTGAGCTGTTAATTAGCTCCTTTTGTTGTTTACTTCTGTGATCGAATCTTATTTAGTATCTTAGCATAGTATTTATGCTGGCTATTTTTGATGTATTGTTATTCAATTTCGTTATGTTATCGATTCCAAATTGTTAGTGTCTCGTGTAAGTTGACTATTTGTTACGCAACTTTTCCACTAAATTGATAGAAATTCGTTACATATTGTTATTTCAGTTTATGATCGTTTATGTTGATGCAATAAATCGCCGATAGCCGTCAACTTTGGTTTTCCGTGGTTTACTTGTCTACCTTTGAAGACGACCTGTAAAGTAGTCCCACCCACTAGTTTGTCGCGACACGCCTAGAGCTCGTTTTGTTTTGTCTCGTTTTGGAATTTGCCAGTTGCTGCAGACGTTACAGTAAAATAGAGACCTTAAGCAAACACTTGAGGCGGTTAGGTGGAGGCGGCGATGGCCGCGCGGGAGTTGGGTTGAGACCGCCTCCTCTTGGCGCGAAATTAGAATATTAAGCTTTTGTAGAAGCGGCGGCGAGCAACAGCTGTTTTGCTTTCGTTTTCAGTGGTCCAATTTGACTTTGTTCGTGGATTTTACGAGCATAATGGCAACTTTTCGAGAAGTCCGAGACCTTCTAGCTG